TTCCCTACTTAGCGTTTTCCTAGCATGGCCTTTTCTGCCCTCTTGAACTTCTGTAGTTCAATAGATAGTTCCCAATATTTCAGATACAGCCACATAAGTTTTCCATTTTGACTTTTGTTTCTGTTCAGCACGTTGCCACAGTAGTTATCATGTTTGAAAATATCTTTTAAGCCACTTTCCATGTGCAGAGCTATAGCAACAGGATCAGTTGCTGCTTTAACTAGCAGATTCTTCTCTATTTCTAGTCTCTGGATTCTGGGTACAACAAGACTGCAGTAGATGTCCTGTCTTTCTTTAAGTCCCTCTTCAAATTCTTTCAGCAAAATATTGGCTCTCTTTTGCCACTCTTCTTCCTTTGCCAGACAACTTTGGTACAAGTTACCTGCTGCTCCCGAGTGCAAAAGGACTTGCTTTTCCCGCTCTAACTTCTCCCACTCCTGTTCTAGGATCCTTCTTTCTTCCACTAGTTTGCGACTCTGGGACACGAGGGCCTCCCGGTAGCTCAGGGTTCTGTTGTGTTCCTTCTCAAGCTCCAGCTCCAAATGAGCAACTGTGCGGCGATTTTCTGTTATGATATCCCGGTATTTGGCTTCCAGATCTTTTTGTAAAGATGACTGTTTTTTATAATATTCTTTTTTTTCTCTTTCTATTTCTTTTTGACATTCTCTGGTCCAGATCCAACCTATCACATGGAAACGAGACGTCAGGCATCAGTTTAATACACGGAACATCGATGGGTAGATTAATTAACTATGGCTCTAAAGAAGCTATCATGTGGTAAAAAACTTCCTTTCCCTCCCTCCCCTCCAGTGATATCCACTCCTGTTCACATGCCCCACAAAATGTGTATCTGTGGGTTCACATGCCACAATAACTCACCTTAAACTACTGTATTTCCTTTAATGTAAAATCTCCCCTACTTTTATTGCTAATAGATACTCTTCTTGGATTAAAGAAGAAATACAAAGTTTTGGGGAAACAAACTGCATTGAGAACTTTTCAGTTCCAGTAAATGAATGTATATCAGCAACATTTTGGGTCGTTACCTCTGGACTCTTTAGCACATCATATGCCCAACTCTTCTAAGAAAACTTTGTAAACTGGAGCTTATTAAACTTGGATTCCATTCCGCGTGCCAAAAACGGCCACAGCCTTAACGCCACCAACAACAGAAAGCGCGGTTGGTTGCATTAGAAACGAGCAGACCAGAGGAAACGCCGAGGCGGGGCAGCACTGCTCTGCTCCAGAGACCCCCCCGCGCCCCGGCACAGCC